TTTCTTTCATACAAACACATAGCTTTTTGCTTCACAAGTTGGTAATTGATGGCCTAGAGTTGTGTGGATTACTTGTGGATTATTGTGATGTTTTCTATCATTTTTTTTTCCTCATTCTGATGGCACCCATTTACTGCAGAGGATCCATTGGTGATTCTACATCTTGGATAGCCTGAGCAAATTTTCATTTTGGGTGAACTATTCCTTTAAATCTAGAAAAGGAGAGAGAGAGAGAGAGAGAGAGAGAGAGAGAGAGATATAGAGAGAGAGAGGGAGAAAAAAAAAAGAATCATAAGGAGACTACTTTTTTTCACATCTATAAAAGCCAGCTGTATTTTAGGGTCAAAAGTGAAGTGTGTAATTTCTGTGGCAGCTGCATCTCAGAATGAAATGTTGAACATTCAATTTTAATACAAGAAAGAATTTCAACAATGAATTCACATTAAAGTCAGGGTTTAGTTTAAGGTTACTCTATAATAATAATAGTTGGCTTTATTTAGGAACAATAGAAGTCTATGGGCCAAACTGAGATGGTGGTGAGGAAAACATGCATGTTGGCCTGGTGTACCTTTTTCATTATTATTATCATCATCATCATCATCTATTTATTTATTTAAATTCCTAGTTAAAACAAGGGTAGGCTAATGACAGGCAGTGTAATTGAACCTGTAAATCCTGCTCTAACTCCTCAACACTCTCTCTGATCCTCTTACACATCTTGCCATCTTAAACATGAGTCACACAGCAGAAATCAGCTTACTGCTTCACACACACACACACACACACATACGCACACTCTCTATGGCCCTCCTACGCATACAAGTGAACCCTACCACTATCACACCATTGATAAAACGTACCATTGTGTTACCAGTTTCTCTTTCTTTTAGACATTTGCCATGGTAACACCTTGGTACTCTTAACCAAGCGCTCTCCAATAAAGCTCTAGCTCCTGATCTGAACCCAATGGGGTTTGTGTCAGGTTTAGGTTTCTCAGATTCTTATTTCAGATAACATGTTTTACTGTTCAAAAGTTTGAGGATGGTAAGATGTTTTATGCTCACCAAGGCTGCATTCATTTGATCAAAAATAAAATTAATATTGTGAATTATTTTTACAATTTAAAACAACTGTTATCTATTTGAATATATTTTAAAGTGTAATTTATGTGATGTCAAAGCTACATTTTCAGCATCATTACTCCAGTCTTCAGTGTCACACGATCCTTCAGAAATCATTCTAATATGTTGATTTGCTGAAATATATAATGATGTTTTTCTTTTTAATCTTTTTGAGCTTGATGACACTAGTCAACATTCACTTTCATTACATTGTAAAAATAAGCCTTTTAAGCAGCCATCCTTTATTCCACATAACATAATTTACATTTAAATTTACATTTATTCATTTGGCAGAGGCTTTTATCCCAAGCGACTTACAGTTGAGCAATACAACAAGTGATGTAGCGATGTAATTAAAGTCTATTACGTTTATCAAGATAAACCAGAGGGTTAGCTTTGCTCATGTTAAAGCAGATCATTTGAATTTTTTAGCTCGATTGATGTGCTGGGTAATCTTTAAGCGAAGAGTGTAAGAGTCAGTTTGCTAAAGCTGGAAGTGTGACCTTCTGTTAATCCATTAAAGTGACTGCTTAATCAATTAAGCTCGAAGTCATGGTCAGCAACAACACAACAGATAGAGGAGAAAACAACTAACGCGCTGGCCTGGAATCGCACAAACACACACGCCGCCAAGGTGTACATCCCTATGGATGTTTTTCCACAATCCCCCGTATCGTCGGATGACCACTCACACGTCCACATCTGTGACAAGAGACAGGGGAATCCAAGCATGTAATCAATCGATACTTGCTGGAAACCTCTAGACCCCTTATACTGATACACATTGACACAGCGGCTAAAGCGGATCAATGAGCGCTCCAGTGTGAAGGGCAGGGAGATGCACACCTCCATTGAGAAAGATGAACTGAGCAAAGAGAGAAAGAGAGAGACTCTAATCACTGATTCCATCTGACTTGGCCGGTGTAAGCAGCACCTATTGATTTTCCAATCAACTACAAGGTCAGGGTTCACACAAACGTACACAAACACTCCGCCACTTGAGCTAGGAAGTCCGCTACTCAAGAAAACTGCTACCTTGTTTGAACGCACACACAAAGCACTCTTGGCAGAATCAGTTTGTTGCCTTTAGAGGGAATTTGATAAAGTGGAAAAGCATTTGTCCACTACCAGATTGGATTTATCACACAAACATACACACATATAGAGGGTGGGAGTTATTTGGGAGGTCTGAACAACCTAATTAAGTGTTGAACCCCCTGAAAGGAAGAACTTTTCAGGATTACGATATACTTTAGTGTCCTATTTATTTTTATGAAAGCATTAGAGCAGTGCTGCTATTGTTAACTAAACCTAACTATTAAAAATATATATTTTTTTGTAATTGAAATAAAGCTGAAATTAATTATAAATGATAGTTTACAAACCTAAACTTACAATAATGTTAAAATTAACTAATAAGAATGACAAAAGCACATAGCAAAATTATTAAAATGTAAACTCTATGTTGTGTTCTGGTCATTTTGACCCAGAGAGGGTTTTCTTTTTCCTGAAAATGCTATAGTTAATGGTATCGCATTGGACTAAAATGAAAAGAAGAAAGAAAGAAAGAAAGAAAGAAAGAAAGAAAGAAAGAAAGAAAGAAAGAAAGAAAGAAAGAAAGAAAGAAAGAAAGAAAGAAAGAAAGAAAGAAAGAAAGAAAGAAAGAAAGAAAGAAAGAAAGAAAGAAAGAAAGAAAGAAAGAAAGAAAGAAAGAAAGAAAGAAAGAAAGAAAGAAAAACTATGTTTTTGTACTCTTTTTTAAAATCCTTTTTCAACTTTGTTACACTTGCAAAAAATTGACAAAATATGTTTATACATTTCTTGTTATGCTATATAATTACCAAATATTGGATTCAATATTTTTTAGCAACTTGTTGTCTTTCAGTTAGCACAGGTTTTGTATTTATTTTTGGAACTAATTGATCGTAGGCCTCGTTGATCTGAACTTATGCACCTCAGTTTTTGAGTAAACATTGCCATAACACAAATAATGCTTATTTTTCATTTAAAAACGGAGGTATATAAGTTCAGATAAACGATGCCCACAAAACCTGTGCTAATTAAAAGAAAACAAAAGAAAGAAAGAAAGAAAGAAAGAAAGAAAGAAAAACTATGTTTTTGTACTCTTTTTTAAAATCCTTTTTCAACTTTGTTACACTTGCAAAAAATTGACAAAATATGTTTATACATTTCTTGTTATGCTATATAATTACCAAATATTGGATTCAATATTTTTTAGCAACTTGTTGTCTTTCAGTTAGCACAGGTTTTGTATTTATTTTTGGAACTAATTGATCGTAGGCCTCGTTGATCTGAACTTATGCACCTCAGTTTTTGAGTAAACATTGCCATAACACAAATAATGCTTATTTTTCATTTAAAAACGGAGGTATATAAGTTCAGATAAACGATGCCCACAAAACCTGTGCTAATTAAAAGAAAACAAGTAGACAAACATTTAAATTAAAACAAAAATTGAAAAATACAAAAAAATAAAAGCTAATTTAAAATATGAATACATACTATAATGGTACAAAAAATATACAAAATAACGCTACACTAGAGGCAGAAATCCTAAAAATATCTAACAATTAGATATGTTACATAAACCGTCCTCGGACATAAAACCTAGCATGAAAAGTAGCTAGTTTTTAAGTTAATGTAAGATCAAACTGTTTTTCCCCCATGTAATTTATGTGAAATATGTTTGTCAGTAACTACGAACCAACATCTGGTCCCAATCTAGTTAGACATACTGAGGCATAGCTTAAAGTAGGCTGAATTTGCAACCATGTTAGTCATTCTCACCCAAACGTCCATGGACATTACCCACATGAAAATCTTTGTGCTGCACGCATACCATGTTAGATTATATTGGGAATGAGTGAGAATCATCCGTGCTGACAGGGCATTACGTGTCTTTATTCAGCTCCATTTTATTGAATTGTCCTATTTTTGTGGTTTCCACTCCATCCAGACACAATGGGAGATATTGAGGCCAAAATGAATTAGGACTGATTAAAAGAGTTCCTCAAGACCATATTGAGAATATTAGTGTAAGGCTAAAATCAAAAAGAGGGGCTTTCATTTTCATTTTAACACCTCAGATGAATGTTCAATGAAAAAACACAAATGTAAACTTTAATTGTAAAGTCCAAAATCTATTTCAGAGATTAGGCCTACTTATTTTAGCAAAGTATTTGTTTTCACCTGAGCGATGAACTACCAACATACTGATATACGAATGTGTGAATCTACATTCTCATTTCAATACATTCCATGTATACTGTCTATATTGTAACTGTCAATTTTTTTACACACAAACTTCCTTATGCAGCCAGTGAGAGGGTTGCCAACATTTCAAGCTTAAAATTCTACAACATAAAATATATTTAGATTATACAATCATTATAATTTACAAAGTATTATTCTGAGAGAAAAAAGCTACTGTGCAACTTGCGAAACTGCCAAGTGAAATGTACAATCCACAGAACAGTGCAAAGCGGATCAATTTATTTCAGAGTTTCTGCAACCTTTGAATTGCAGGCTTTCCATACAGCTTCTAACCATATGGAACTTGGCATTTTTAGCATTTCCTGTGCTGAATTGTGCAGAATAGATTTAAATATGATAAAATATTTAACAATGTTTACGTATGCCTAAGGTTGCTGACCGGATCCTATTTTGTACTCCCGAATGACACCCGTTGTTTTCCACACTTTGAAACCAGAATGACCTTCCCATAAACTGTAAACTGCAGGTGCAACAAGGCTTCCTTTACTTAATTAGGATCTACTGCACATCCAAAATGTATGAAAACATAACAGATTTCAAATCTGTGGTTACTTTAACAGCCCAACCATGTGAGGTATGTCTTACCTGGGACGATGGAGACAGTGTCCTTTTCCCAGGACACCACACTGACGTACTCCTGCACAGCAGAGGGGATGAGGCACTTGAAGACGGCCACGTTGCCCCGCATGGACCTTTGGTCCGCCACGCGAACCGTGTAAGGTTCCCTGAACACTGTTCAAGATGAGCCAGAAGAAAAACAGAGGTTGAAATTAATTAATTAATTAATTATTAAATAATTGTAATTATTTTAATCTAAATTTTGAATCTGAAATTATACATTTATTTTTTTTACAGATTTTATTTTATTATATCAAACATCAGTATCAAATGCTATATTAATGGCAAACCCAATAGTAATGCATTTAAAATAATTATAATAAGAATAGTAATTCAGTCAATTGTACACAATAATTTAAACTAAATAAATAAAGACACAACAATAACAACAACATTAATAATTATATAAAATCTACCAATTTAATATTTGAGAAAAATATATATAGTATTTTCCCAAAAGAGTGCCCTTTTTTTGTGCATTCAAAAAGACCTGATCTGGGACCAATGCATTAATTTTATTAAACATATATTACTAGATTCTGAGATGGAGACTGAATCTTTTTTGTCAAGAGGTGTTTAAGTGTTCAGGAAGTGGCCTTTTTAAAAATCACCCAGGCAATGCATGCAGACGGCGATGAGTAGACGCCGCCACACAGCCCCTGGAGCTGTCAGAAACATTTGCCCCCGCTAAAGGGACCCTCTCTGCACCTGACAACCGGAACCTGGACGAAAAAATCAATAGACGAAAAGAACACACAAACCGAGCAGGGTACGAAGGTGTTATTTACGGGCAAGGAGATCCTCCTACAGTAAAGGGCGACAAGGGAGCGTGAGCAGATTAAAGGAGGCGCTGAATTTCATTTTAATTTCAGGGACTCAATTTGCTTTGTGTCTTTCATCAACATCTATTTACTTATGGATTTTAATTTCTCCCTCGTATCTTTGGGGAAGTAACGCAAGACGCAGAGCAAGGGCATCTCATTCACGAACATGACGCCGCAAATTTGATCACACAGTCGGGGGATGTTTTCAGAGAACTCTGTGGGTATTGCAATTGGATTCGCGGCCAATTCAACTACGCAGCTTTTTCACCCCATCAGAAAAGAGACCGATCATAAGAATTCATGAAACGTGGCAATTACCCACAACCACGCTCCTCACCCCCTCCTGTCTCACTTTCACTTGCTACCTCTATTAACGCCTGGCTTGCGGGTGAATTTCCTTGGTCATTAATAACGGTTTCTGTCAGGTGCCAGAGTGTCACCCACAGCGAGGCGAATCAGTGTCCTTGTCTGATGGTTAAGTCATGAATCGTTGAGTCCAGTCATTATATTTCTTTATTTCTTTCTACATATTTAAATGGTTTATAAAAATATGCAAATGAAATATGTTTAAGTAAGTTAAAACAGGCTGTGTATATTTGCCCACTGTTAACTAACCAACTTCTTACTGATGCAGATGAGATTTGAATCAATAGAACAAATCAATAGAACTCCCTATTACACTCAGGACTCCATAGTCTATAAATAATCATTTATTCAGTCATTGATTGACTGCGAGGCTCGGGCCTTATTGAGTTTCTAAAGATAAACTAACTCAAACAGGCCCTCTATTAGCTAGTTTTATTTTCACCTCGACTCGGATTGTGCTACACCTGGTTGTGGAATGTTGTTTTACAGCAGTGGGAAGAGCGTAAACAAGCCAAAACATCTCTAAGGCTTCAATAATGCATGTGTAAAATTCACAGACGGATTTGCCGACAACAATAGCAGATAGCATTTTTTATGGGCAAATGACTCTCCGTCTTCATGTGCGGCATCATTAGAATGTTACTGATGCCTGACTATACTCATCGGTTGCTTGGAAACGGACTGGCACATGGGCTGGTGCTCTCTTTCTCTTTTTGCGCACACCAGGAGGACTGAGTCCTGTATCACCATCGTTTATATAATTAACTGGAGAGAAACCAAATACTGTATTTACTTATTCATGATGCAAGACATTTAAAAAAGGGGAAAAGAACCACACTGAATAAGAATGAGGCGGTGAAAAGTGCTCATTAATGTAATGGTGAAAAAATAATAATAATTAGCATGACCTATCAGGAGGCAAGCAGCCAAAGAAACAAAGGGCTGAAAGAAAGGAAGAATGAGTCTGTCACAGTACACCTGTCAGGCTCGTCGCACGAGGTCTGTGTTTAACCCTCAAGCTGACTTTAGATAAACTCAGTACAGGCTGTAGGACACTCTCCATTAAAAATGCTACCATTTAAGATTAAAGAGGTGATATAGTTAATATAGCATAGCTTCTACTAGGCACATTTCTACATTTAACTCAAAGCCCTGTTCATCTTAATACTCCTGTCAATGACCTGCTTCCCACTACACTGAATCAAAGGATCCCACCCAACCCGCCAAACCCAACACAAAGGAAGTCTAGGTCAGAATAGCTAGTTTCATACACTGACATAGAAAAGACAGACAGACAGACAGACAGACAGGCAGACAGATAGATAGATAGACAGATAGATATATAGATAGATAGATAGAAGACAGACAGACAGACAGACAGACAGACAGACAGATGGACGGACAAAAAGATGGAGAAGATGGAGAAACAGATGGAAAAAAAGACCCAGGTAAACAGATAGACAGATACATAGATAAACATATAGATAGACAGACAAACGAACAGACAGATGAAGAGACAGAGGAGAGACAGGGCCAGGTAGAGAGACGGACAGATAGACAGACAGACAGACAGACAGACAGATAGATAGATAGATAGACAGACAGACAGATAGACAGACAGACAGACAGACAGATAGATAGA